TCATCTTCAACTTGTTGCTTCCTACAACACTTAATAATGGTAATTAGAGTAATAATGTATTTAAACACAAATATTGTTGATAAAAATTGTAAAACATTACTTAGCTCAAACTAACGCCAATTGCCATTTGACAAAAACAAAGTGAAGGGTACACATGCACCTGGTGACCAGTGTCCCAAAAGAAGAGTGGGGTTTCAAGGTATCAGCTGTCACCGTACCTGGTTTCCTGCACTACAGTGCCTCCCTTACTTGGGCCTGGCTCTCTCAGTCCAGAGTCCATCTATTTTGCCCTGCTGCTGGGTGAAGCAGGGTATCATTCAGCTGTGTAGAGCTGAAAGGGGTGTGGGAGGGAGGGTCTGGGCTCTACTTCTCAAACTGGCTTTCACAAAAATCCCGTTTTTAGTCACGCCTTTACTCCAACTTCATCAATTCCTGCACCTTCCAGAGGTTCTAGAGTTTAAAACTAGTTCTTTCTTGACTTTCCTCACTACCGGCTTAGAGTTAACCTTCCCAGATTGCCTGAAATAGTTACTAAGAGTCCATCTGTTTTCAGGTTCCAAAATATGGCAGCTCTTGTCTCTTTTCTTGTTGTTGTTGTTGTTATTGTTGTTGTTGTTGTTTAATCCTTGGTTTGTGCTTTGACTATCCTATCATTTTTCATGGGATTTCAGAAGGGAATGAACTGAAGGGCATGTGTCTCAGCAGTCATCTTTAAATGGGTAGCATCAGTTACAAAGACTTTTTATAACAACTTCAGACCCACTGCTTTTCCACAGTCTTACCTGAAAGGACTGGGACTGTTATTCAGACACCTGTAGTCTTTCTTCCCCTACTTGAAAGGATACATAAATAATAACTACTTATTTCTTTTACTATTACTTCAGACACCGATTATTGATAAAAGCTGAACAATGTAGACTAAAATATTCACGAATTTCAAATCAACTTCTTCACTTATTTATCTCAGGACAAAGAAAAAGCCAAAGCATGTCATAAAAAGTGGCTTCTGAGTGTCACTGACTTTCAACTATCAGCTGAAGAAGTTTGGTTTTTAAAAAGTTTTTCTGTTACATGAAGAGAAATTGGGCAGTGAGGAAAAAGAATCTTCTGGGGGAACAAGTACTGGGTATTATTTTGCATGTTTATTATTTTTATAATTTACTCTTCCACACAAGGCAGAAACTGAAAAGTTTGGCATTAGCTGCTCATTATAGGTTGGGAATCAATTCAGTTCCTTAGGACACAAAACCACATTGATGGGTATTTTTATTTTACTCTGCAGAAACTGAAGCCAGCAGAGTTTTAGCTTTAAAATTACTTCCTAAAGAAATACCAATGTTTTACCTTTGCACTGGGAAAAAGAAAAGCAAGCATATTGCAAAGTTCTTTAGCACTGTCTACAGTCGACCAGGCAGACACCTGAGAGGCAAACAAAACTCTTTCTCACCAAGTCCTCAAGACTCCATGTTCCAAATGTCCCTCAAGTCCTTGCTCTTAGGCTCTCTCTCGGTTTCCCAATATGTGTGGCTATGTTACTGTCATGGCGTCAAATCTTTCACCACCTTCACCTCCTCTCTAATGCGAACAGCATGCTGTCGTGTCCCAAACCACCATGGCCATCGCTACTGGATTGCTCAAGGTTTCCACACAGCCTTCAGGAAACCGTGAAAACGCCTCAGCAGAGCACAGAAAGGCCAACACCATCTGTTCTCACCCTCGCCTTCGATGATTCTCACCGGGCTCCAGTGCGACCCATATCTGTGCATTTCAGTGACCCATACCTGCTCTAGGATTCCTCCGAGCACACACTGTGGATGGTTCACCAGCCGCCACTGACCCCTGAAGACCAACAGCCACCAAATGCTCTAGAACCCAGGCATCTTGCAGAATAGGAGGCTCCACAAGTGTGGACTGAAGTGAGCAATTCTTTATAAAGAAAAGAACTTAGTAGGGACACACCACTGATAAGCACTCACACCCAGCATCAGAATGATCTCGTCCCTGCCTGCTTTCCTATAATGTCTTCTTAGTGTTATTCATCAGCCTGAGTCACTATAAAGGGGACCAGATGTTGCACTGTTCAATCCACAAAGCTGAATATTGAGCATGTTCTGACCTCACCTTACCCTAAATATCCCACCTACTCTGGCTACAGTTTTTCATTAGGGAAAAGTACAATGAAGGTAGTCTTCATTATGCCACACCGAACAATGTCATGCTTCGTCAGTAATCACTGAGTTAAACACCAGTCATTTGCTTTATTCAACATTTAGCATTTTCTTACAACTGGAAACTCTTTTTTGGGGCAGCACATTAAGTAGTTATCACTTTAGAGTCACTTGGAGACCAAATGCTAGAAGCTCAGCAAAGAGGCACTACATAATGAAATGAGCTCTGCAAATCTGAGCATTCTGAATTTTTATAAAACGCTATATCTAAAATGAGTGTTTCAAACTAAATTGAATAAACTTTTGTAATATGTTTCTATGATACAGACATTGAATTATCATGGAGAAGCTGAACATTCCTAGTTGAAATACATTATAACAGAGATCAAGTATCACATAGGTAGCTATCCAGATTACAACACTGCCTTTTAAGGCACCTGGGTGGCTCAGTCAGTCAAGCATCTGACTCTTGATTTCAGCTCAGGTCATGATCTCGGGATTGTGAGATTAAGCCCTGTGTTGGGCTCCCTTCCTCTCCCTCTGCTCCTCCAACCACCCGCTCTCTCTCTCTCTCTGAAATAAATAAATAACATTTTGAAAAAGAAAAAACACTGCCTTTTAAGTAAAAACAAAGTAAAAATATAAAAAAATGTTTCTTTCTTTATCTTTTAATGGAGGTTAAGAATTTTGAGTTTTGTTTTAAAAATAAGAAATAAACAAAAATGTCCAGAATAGTGTCTTACTATAAGCCAGTATAGAAATGAAAACTTTTTAATAAAATCATAAAAGACTTAAATTTTGTAAAAGATCGAAATTAAAATCATAAAATTTTAATCTATAAATAAAATGAGTTATTCCAGGGTTAACAAGATACAGATTTTTTTCAATCCCCATTTAATAAATAAATAATTGAGGGGGTGAGTTTTAGCAACCTGCTCAAGGTTAACCAACTACCAAAAGGAGAATCAACTGTTCGAGCCCAGGCCCCTTGTGGACCACGTTGATACACAAGTCATGCTGTCAGGGCTCAAAGACCATAAGGACCCAAAGCACGTGCTTTGTGCATAAAAACACGCCACTGTGGTTTTCAGAAAACATATCCTCATTAAAATCATGGCTTACATTTTATAGTTATCAAAACAGTAATAATTCTTGATAGCTGTGTATCTAATACAGAGCTTTGTTTTTGTAGATCAACCCAAGTACAAGTTAAAATGAAAGAGACTCATTCTGAAATCTGAATACCTTTCAAAGAGGGACCCATCATTGAAGGCTCTTGTTCTGAGCTCTTCACCGAAGGAGAAAAGAGGTTTTCATTTATCTTACCGAAACTGGCAAGACTGGTACCAAAAGGACCAGTAGGCTGAACACAAGCAACAACCCAGCTTCTAAACAAGGATTTCCGTGTGGTGGTGCATGCCACCACCCACACACCATGGGCCCAGCGTTCCCGAAGGCCCAGTGGGTCCTCTGAACATGTATTTTTAAGTATCCATTCCAGTCTCAAGATGGACAGGATCTCTTCCTGAGGCAGATTCTGGCTTCTGAAGTTGTGCCACTATCAAGGAAATTTGAAGATCTCATTGATCTGACCACAAACTCCAGCTCTCGGAAGTAGCCCCAACTCACACGCTAACCTGTTCAGCATGAATGTTCCATCTTGAGTTCAAAAGGAAGATCTACCTGCACACGGTGATGGAGCCAGCAGGCATGAACATGTTATCATTCCTGGCTGCCTGGCTCTGCCCTCATGTGACAAGTAAGCAAGGTCCAGATTTGCAAGATACATCCAGATACTCCCCCCTAGGACAGATCCAATTCTTGTGGGCCCTAGACCTTGTACAGTATGCAGGCCCACCAAGAAAGAAATTAGGCACAAAAGCAAACATTTAAGAGGTACCTTTGCAAGTGAGAAGCCTTGAAGCTCAGGCTTCACTAATTATACGGTAAAGCCACCTTTGACCCAACTGTATAAAATTGCCGAAATTCAACCATTTTGATCTAGCAAGACAGCAACTTAGGATGGCTCAATGTATCACACAGGGCTCCTGCACAGGCTCTGTAGCTGACTCAGAAGAATGTAACAGCTCACTACTGGTGTACGCTTATTAAAACTAATAAGGAAAATTCCCCTCTAATAGTGCTTATGAAATGTTAAGTAGGGAAAACCTAAGGAAACCATTATGGTCACTATGACTACATTTTCAAAATAATATTTACGTAGATGAACAAAAAATATGAAAATGTAAACAAAAATAATTTTTGTATTTGAATAGTTCCACCATGAGTTACTTTCCCTCACAACTAAAGGTTGTTCTATTAACCGTATAATTTTTTTTTTAAGATTTTATTTATTTGCGAGAGAGAGAATGAAAGACAGAGAGCATGAGAGGGAGGAGGGTCAGAGGGAGAAGCAGACTCCCTGCTGAGCAGGGAGCCCGATGTGGGACTCGATCCCGGGACTCCGGGATCATGACCTGAGCCAAAGGCAGTTGCTTAACCAACTGAGCCACCCGGGCGCCCCTAACCGTATAATTTAAAAGGAAGAAGAAGAGGACAAGCGTGAGGAGAGGAAGAGGCAGTGACACACAAAGGGAGTGACAGACCTCAGATGTGACTGTCTGTGGTGACAATTTATTACACACTTGCCATCCGTCTAATACATCAACAACCCGAAACGTATCTTAAAATTTATTTCAAGGGATCAAGATAAAAGCCAACTGAATCAATGAGAGAACTCATACTTCTAAAGGTCTTCCCTTTGAGATAACATAGATGTTTGTTAGTAAGGAAGGTCTTGGCATGACCAAAGGCCAACTAAGGTGAACTTACTTTTTGCTTGCCTCACAGACATCTGTAATGTTGGAGAAAAGATGGTGACTCTCTGTTTTGGTCATTGTATCACTCAGTTCTTTAGAATTTTTAAACATTCGTATCAAGATCTCCAAACTGAGCAAATAGGAATGTTCAGAGGATATGACTTCAAAGATAGCCTGGTATGAAGGAAAAAGAAATGTATTATTAATTATGGTAATTGAAGAACTAAATAAAGTTTTCATAATTCTCCTATAAAAACAACGTATCTTAAAAAGCACAGAAAGATAAGCATGAAGAAAAATGCATCACCAAACTACTGTCTTTTTTATATAAGGCACATACACCCAAACCTCAGGAAGTAGAGTCAGTCACTGCCCACAGTGTAAAAATGAAAAAGTGAAAGCATTTAGATGACTTGAGATTGCATCCTGAGGTCATGCTTTGTTAAGGGGTAGAATCTATGGAAGGAAAGCTTAGGGCATGTCATAAAGTCTCAGTGTGACATTAATTAACCTTTGGGGTCATCTCCTCCAGGCCTGTTTTCAAAGTCTGCTGCTCTGGGACACTAAGGATTTATAGACACCACTTGGGATTCCAAGAAAATTTCTTACAAATACATTTCTTTGCTCTCCTCTTACGCAGGCTCCTTCTCTCCCCATATTTTAATCCAACAAATTTGCAGTCAATTACAGCAAAGAGTCAGGGTATACTAGAAGACCATGACTGTATCTACCCTCAAAAGGTTCTCATCAGCCACAGGAATTCTTTTATATTAAACTCATACAACTGAAAGTAATTCTGTTCATTCAACAAGACACCCTTTCTGCTCCCATCAGTTTCTCAAGAAGGAGTGAATCAGGACCCTCTGCAGAAATGCTTGGTGTCAAGGCACACAGCCGTTGACCTGATAAGTGTTCATTAATGATAAAAAGCCAACCCACATATGTGGGTAGGCACCATCGCCCTGTGTAAAGAATTCATCTAGCTCCTTAATAAAATCACCTTCAGATCCTCCAAGAATGGCAACACAGGGATTCCTCCTCAGGTCGGGGTGGTAAATATCCTCACAGGCCTGAAATTCAGATCCTTCCTAGGGATCTCCCTGGTAACACTGCCATCATCACCTTGGCCCCCAGGCACGTCTCCTCAAGCCCTTGGCCCAAAAGGCCCAGAAGATTCTTGCTGTAAGTCCCTGTGCTATGGCTGAAGCTGGTGAGAGCAGGCAGACACAGGCAAGTGGACGCCCAGCTGCTGGTAAGTGGACCATATTTTGTAGGTCAGGTTAATGGGGCTGGTCTCAATGTTCATCTCCCTTTTCAGCATCTATAAGCTTTAAAGGAAGTCTTACTTAAAGGTGCTGGTCTAGCCTCAGTTGTGTTCCAGGGACTTAAGTGATATAACCATCTAATGAGTATGCAGTAAGAACATGAAGAGTCTCACTTGACCTGTATCTTGTATAATTCTATTCAATCGATACAATTATCCCTGGGAAATGTAGTGTAAACTGAAGAAAACTGTCGCTTCCTGACCAAAAATAGTGGATGTCATGTTGTTAATAGATATGGTACCCTGAATGACAAAATATTTTCAAAAGCAAAGGCTTTTGTAATCACATGCAAAATACTAAGATTTAAACAAAAAGACCACATGAACTATACAGAATAGATCACAGGAAAAGATGATTAAGTGGTAGTTTAATATAATAGGTTTAATGTAATAACTGTTAAAACATCCTACAATAGAGCCATCAACTACTTAAAAGCAAATTGGGTTAAACTTTCTAAAAATAGCTATATAGGAATCGAAAGGAACCATAAAGTTAGATTTGCTGCTGTCATTAGTTTTTTTAATATCACAAATCTGAATATTTTCAAAATATAAAGGAAATAAATAGGTTCAAATAGAAAAGGTTTAAAAGAACACATATGTTCAAATGGGGTTAGGACCCTGGAGTAGCTCTTGAATTTGTCCACAAACATTATTTATGCTGCAATGTTAATAATAAAGAAAAAAAACATATCACTTACTGTCCAAAATTTGGACAACAGATTTTTTTAAGGTGGTATTTATACAGTGGAATACTATATAGTGGTTTGAATGAATGATCTAGATTAATATACATTAACATGGATAAATCCCAAAAATAGTGCTGAATATCAAAAGTAAACAAAAAATATGTTCAGAATCATCACACTCACATATGCACACAAATATATGTACATAAATATATGTAATACATGATTTAAAAACACAGATTGAGGGGCGCCTGGGTGGCTCAGTCAGTTAAGTGTCTGCCTTCGGCTCAGGTCATGATCCCAGGGTCCCGGGATCAAGTCCCGCATCGGGGTCCCTGCTTAGCAGAGAGTCTGCTTCTCCCTCTGCTCCCCTCCCACCACTTGTGCATTCTTTCTCTCTCTGCGCACTATCTCTCTCTCTCTTGCTCTCAAATAAACAAATAAATAAATAAAATCTTAAGAAAAAAAACACAGATTGGATAGGTACACATCAATTCATAATTACAGCTGACTCTGGGGAGGAGAGGAAGGAAATGGCACCACGGAGAGTGTAGGGATTCTACTTTATTGAAAGTCTTGTTTTCTTTAAAAAATATAAGGAAAAAATTATAAATGTAATACATTTGTTAATTCTCAGTGATGGGTACACCAATGTTATATACTATTCTGGTTTTTTTAAACTTAAAAAAAATGACACTATAATGTCCCCTTGTATTTTTGTGTTAGTTCATGCCAATAAAATAAAAATACAGTGCATATCCTTTGTGCAGTTTATATGCATGTATATACATAAACATAGTAATATGCATATAACAGGAGAAAAGTGTTGAGAACTTCACTGTATTATTACAATGAGTAATTTCCTTAAACTGCATTTATTTAAATTTCAAGTTGTAAAATCCTATTACTATCTGTTTTATTTTTTATTAAGTAAACCTTTATTTTGGTATAATTTTAGATTTATAGGAATCTTGCAAAGAGGGTTTGGAGCTCCTGTGTTTCCTTCATCCAGCTTCCCCTAACCAGAGCACACGACATAACCACGGTCCATTACATTTTATCTGCAGACACATGCACGTACTTTACTCAGATTACACCAGTTTTCCCACTAATATCCTGTTTCAATCCAGGATCTAATATCTCTTTCATTTTTCAACATATTTCTTCCAGTTTAAATACCTCAACTAGGTGTTGTTTAAGCTAAAATGACATTAAGGTATTTTAAGTTTTCTTTCCTGGGTTCTTATGTGTAGTTTTATTTGACAATGAACACATACCTCTTACGCAAAAAGAACAAAATGAATACGTTTTCAAAGGAAAACACTGAACCAGTGCACACAGTAGGTGAAAGCACACACTCTCTTCAGAGCTCTAAAGTATCTGCTCAATAGAAAACATACCTCCTGTCTCTTTCTTTCCTCCTGGCTAACTGTCTGTGATAATCCATTTCTTTTCACCTAGAGGAAAAAGCAAAATAAAATTGAGCTCATTTACTTCAACAATTTATTATGTAAGGCATAACTCCATGCTCTTTGAGAAATGAATTTTAGGAAATTATGCAAAATGTGTGAATTCAGCACATATTAATTTTTGGGTCCCTCATAGAATATTTACTCACATTAATAAATTAGCATCAACACAAAAGAACTGCAAAGTGTGTGAATTCAGCACATATTAATTTTTGGGTCCCTCACAATATTTAATCACATTAATAAATTAGCATCCACACAAAAGAACTGCAAAGTGTCTAGAACACTATCCCATCAGGTTGTGCTAATCTATTCTAGTCTTAGGTCTAGATATTCCTAAAATGCTTATCAAATTAATTTCCCAAATCATAAGTGAAGAAATCTAACAATAAAGAAAGTGAAGCCACCCATCTGAGAGTTTACTGCCCAGGATCCCACACTGAAAAAATAACTTTAATACTATTTTTCACCAACACTCCATGGAATACCCATGCTCTTCATAGAAACCCAATCAAGAAACAAAGAAAACAAAGTCTCCCCTGCCCCAATTTCAGCATTATTTTCAGCACATTGAAATTTGACAAAGAAGGGAATGCCTGGGTGGCTCAGTCCATTGAGCACTGGAAGGACCCTTGATTTCTGCTCAGGTCATGATCTCAGGGTCCTGAGATAGAGCCCTGCACCAGACTCTGTGCTCAGCCAGGAGTCTACTTGAGATTCTCCCTCTCCCTTTCCCTCTGCTTCCCACCCTGGCTCACATGCTCTCTCTCGCTCTCTAAAAATTAATTAATTAATTAATTAATCAATCAATTAATTAATTAGACAAAGAAGGATATTAACCTGATATTCTTTGGAGAAGCAACAGTACCCACAAGGACCAAAGCACCAGTACTGTACTTGGAGTAATGCAGTTGCATTGTTAGCTAAATCACTGCGATCTCTACCTAAATTACCATGCACTTTTTATTTGATTACTGCAGTTTCTACCATGATTCAGCTTCTTTTTTTTTCTTAAGATTTTATTTATTTATTTGACAGAGAGAGAGAGACAGCGAGAGGGGACACAAGCAGGGGGAGTGGGAGAGGGAGAAGCAGGCTCCCCGCTGAGCAGGGAGCCCGATGCGGGGCTCGATCCCAGGACCCTGGGATGAGGACCTGAGCCAAGGCAGACGTCCAATCAACTGAGCCACCCAGGCGTCCCACAGGATTCAGCTTCTAACCCAGCTGAACCATGAACTCCGTGAACTCAGGGTCCCGTGGTGGCTTCTGGTATACCTGGCACTGAGTCTGGCACGTGAAAGATACTCATGTTTTTCAGCTAAAGATTAAATTAGCAAAAGGTAAGGCATACATAAAATATTGACCAATTAAATTCTGTGCTTAACAGAAAGAACAGCAAGAAAGGAGAGTGTCCTCCATTTTTGTGAGAAACTAATAGCAATAAAATATAACACAGGTCTTCAAACATTTATAAAAAGCACAACGATTTGATATCCACCATCCTCCATTTAAAAATAAATATGCTTCCCATAACAGCTGGAGATTATTCTTCTTTATCCTTAAAAATCACATTTCTATGTCAATTTTCCCCCAAAATTTCCTAACGTAATTCTGTGTGGTAGGGTATCTTATTAATCACCCTAGCATACTTTGATGCAAAAATACATTTTTCAATTTAATTTTCTAAAATTTCCTGTGACCATTGAGCTTTAAGTATAAAAGAGACTCTTCTGGATTATATAATCACCACAAATATCATTAATAACCTACGATCAAAATAACACAGGGGCGCCTGGGTGGCTCAGTCGTTAAGCATCTGCCTTCGGCTCAGGTCATGATCCCACGGTCCTGGGATCGAGCCCCGCATCGGGCTCCCTGCTCCGCGGGAAGCCTGCTTCTCCCTCTCCCATTCCCCCTGCTTGTGTTCCCTTTCTGTGTCTCTCTCTCTCTGTCAAATAAAGAAATAAAATCTTTAAAAAAAAAAAAATAATAATACAATAACTGCCAATTTTAATGCATTAGGCCCTAAAAGTAAATTTTACTGAGAATGCAATTCTTAGTAAGGTGGGGGGGTGGGGGGGGTTATAGTGGCTTCATTAAAAGAGGCTTCACTGAAACCAATATTTTAAATTGACCCTCCGTATCTTGTACCCCAGTGGAATGACACCTTGGAACAAGGCACCACACTAAGATTTGAGATGGGTAAGGGGAACACCTTTCTTTAGTAAAATTGCAAAAAGGGCAACTGTGAGAGAGAAGATTGGAAAAAACCCTGGGGTAACACTTAGCACACGTAGTCTCAATTTTAGAAAGGGGAGGATACCTGGAACATAAAGATCTAAAAAAAATGGATCCTTAAAAGATCTAAAAAAATGGATCCCTGTCCACTTTGCATGGTCTTCATGAATCCCCGGTGGTGTAAACCTTAGTGTGAAAACTGTGGGTGCATAGTGCCCTACATTGTGCTGTCACGGAAATGAAGACACATGTTATGGTCTCTAACCTGACTTTTGGAAAAGGATAGAAAGCAGTAGAGTAGTGTAGAAAGAGTCCTTAAATCAGTGGTAAAATCAGCGATCACTTACGGAACATTCACTGTGTGCCTGGATGTGTCATAAGCATTTTATACCCCCTTTCCCATTGAATCCTCCTAAAAACTCAAGAAAGTCAATAATACTATCCTTATCTCCAATTCAGGTGGGGATAACAAGTGAGGCTTAACATCTAAGAGCACACAGCTAACAGGTAGCGAGGGCATAATCTGTATCCATGCCTGTCTAACTCCAGAGCTCATACTCTCTCTCTTTTTTTAAAGATTTATTTATTTATTTTAGAGAGAGAGAGCGGAGGCAGGGACAGAGGGAGAGTGAGAGAGAGTCCTAAGCAGACTCCACACTGAGCGCAGAACCCCATGCAGGGCCCAATCCCATGACCCCGAGACTATGACCTGAGCTGAAACCAGGAGTCGGACCCCCAACCAGCTGCACCACTCAGGTGCCCCAGGTGACTGAGGGACCCCTGCTTTCTGTGAGAGGCAGCCCATTTCTAGGGTTGGGCAATCATCACTAAACTCCTTCTAATGCCAGGCCCGTATCAAGTCTCCATATGTTCTTTTTCATCCACCCATATTGTGGAATGTTCTTAGCCTTACCCACCATCCTGACCCGGGGTCATCCTGTCAGCAAGAATTCATGGCTAAAAAGGCTTCTTCATCCATTTTAATAAGGGGGGAAACCGGCCAGAAGAATGAAACTGTTCAGCACTACTCCCGTATGGTTAACCCTGAGCAGGAATTTCACAGGATTTCCTTCCTGACACATAGTCCTGGCAGATCGATATCCAGGCGCCATGCCCACAATCTCCACAGGTGAGATCACCAGCAAGAATTTCCACGCACTGGCCTTGTCATCCAGAATTACTAGTAAGTTCAGACCCAGAAATCTTCAGGGAAAGAGAATAAACCATTTGGACTTAGAGACCTACACATGTGACAGCTAGTTTACTGAGGGATTAAGAGTACTTTATCCCATTAAGAAGGAAAAAAAAAAAATCCCCAGACAAAACAGTTTCTCTTTTGAGGGGGGAAAAAAATGTAGTTTTGAAAAAGGCAAAGTGCTAGCTCCCAGAATTATCATATTTCATTAATACTAGTACAAACAATGATAAAATACTCCTTTAACCAAAAAGTCATCAGTAAGAAACCAGCAACCCATACAAAACTACTGAGACAGAAAAGAAAAAGATTCCAGGGAACATTCTTGGATCATAACTAAGAAACCTGAAGTGCAGCACACTGGAGGAGGCTGCAAGTTTGCTGCAGAGAGTTATGACAGATCAGCCCCTCCTGGCTGACTGCCAGGCCACGGCTCCAGGGCCTGTCCTTCTCTCTTGGCCCTTCTGTCCCCTGTACAGGGCAGGCTGGACAGCTTCTCCCTCCTGAGTCAAGAGGAATCATTATGTCCCCCTGAGACTTCTTTCCACATTCAACTCGAAATTAAGTAGTACCTGAGAGCAGGTGCCTGGATGGAGAAGGTCATGAACAGACCAGATGCTTTCAGAGACTGAGCAGTTTGGAGGAATGAAACCAGAGAAAGAGAGGGCGAGAAGGATATCAAAGGAGGCCCCCATGGAGACTGGTGACAAGGCAGAGAACAGACTATTAGGGTAGAATGAACACACTGGAGCAAAATATCAAGCAGAAAGAAACGAGGAAGGAAAGGAGGGATGGATGATGGGAAAGGAAGGAAAAAAGGAGAATGTGCGCCAAGTTTTAAATAGCAAATACCTCTAAGGGCACCTGGGTGACTTAGTTGGTTAAGCATCCGGCTCTTGATTTCGGCTCAGGTTGTGATCTCAGGGTCGTGAGATCCAGCTCCATGTTGGGCTACATGCTGAACTTGAAGCCTGCTTAAGATTCTCTCTCTGCCCCTCCTTCTCTCCCCCCGCCCACCTTCATCCCTGCTTGCAGGCTCACTCTCTCTCTCTCTCTCTCTCTCAAAAAATAAATAAATAAATAAAGTAAATACCTCTAGAAATTTTCTAATTCAAAAACAGCAAACCTTATCAGTAAACTTAACTCATTGGAAGAATCAGGCTTCCCCCCCTGCCAAGAAAAAAAATGTGTGAAAAGCATATGTTTACACCTACAGTTTTAAAATTGACCTGCTTTTTGCAGTTTGCACATTTTTGCTAAGAGAATCTGAAAGATTATCAAGTTTATCATGCTTCTTCAAGTGTTCCTCTTGTTTCTATGTGTGAAAAAGAAAAAAAAATAGTACAGCAGCTTCTAACACCTGATTCCTATTGCTACCCTAAATGAAAAAAATTAAAATTGTGTAGGCTCCTTCTGTATTTTGATAGCCTCTATTTCATATTGGAAGTTCTGGCTGAGTACAACTGGGAACAGACAGCCAAAGCAGCATGCCTCTAACGTTCTCTTCTGACTTCACTTGAGCTTTCTTATTCCTCACTGATTTAAATTTTTTATT